TTACACTGAACAGTATGCTCTGATCCCTCCTGCTTCTGCAAACCTCTTGTTTGCAGGTGCTTCCCAGGTAATGTTTTCTATCTGAACTGTCAGTCAGATGCAGTCAGTTCACCCACAAGCACCAATGCTTATGAAAAAGAAGTATAAATTCTTTAGACTTGCCTGGAACTTGTAAGCTTTCAGTATAGTACATGATATGTTCTGTGAATCAGGAGAGGAACTAGTATTACTGGCTGAAATCTAGTCCTTAACTGACAAACAGCAGGACTGAGATAAACTACTACTGCTACTAACACCTGTTACTTGTTCAGAGTGAGGCACTAGGCTAAGTGATTTACATTTTATTTTACTTAAAGCTCAAACAAATCCATAAAGTGGAAATAATTATTCCTATGGTAAGGATGAAAAAAAACCCCAGAAATTTAGGAAAATATTAAGGAATGTCCCTCAGATCAAGCAGATCATAAGTAACAGTAATGGGAATATGACAAGTTTATTGAACCCCAAATCCTTCTATTTTTTCTGTATTTTTACCCTTTATAATTGCATGAATCTGCAAATATGCCTGAAATTGCAAGATCAAATTAACAAATTAAGATATTAAATGAAAATTAAAGTCCTATGCAAAAATTAAATAATATAAAATTTTATAATACAAAAAATTCTTTTAAATTTTTATAGTATTTTAATAAAATTTTTCTATGACTTAGTGACTTTATTTCTATCCCCCACTGTTGTCTTTTTTATACATTTATTTTTTATTTTTAGGTGGACACAATATCTTTATTTTATTTTTATGTGGTGTTGAGGATCGAACCAAGCACCCCATGCATGCCAGGCAAGCACACTACTGCTTGAGCCACATCCCCAGCTCCCCACTGTTTGTCTTTTTAAAACTGTGTATACACACCCCACACACATCTCTGTGTATCTGAGCTAATTTGTGGGTAATCTTAGGATGTTTCCCCGTTTTAGAACCCTTTCACTCACATTGTCTATGTAACTCCAATTTCTTTCTTTCTCTTTCTTACCTGATCTCTGTCACGTATAGGCCCTAGCATAATGCTAAAGTATATTTTTATTGTGTTCATACAAAGGAGTTTTTGCTGTTTTTAATTTTAGGATGGCTTTAAAATGACAGAAATTAACTTCCTTTTATATTTTGCGTTTTACAGGTGTAGTCTGCTTTTTGGTGTGTTATTTGTGTTCACGTTTGTCTTCTTTTCGATTGTAAATCTTTGCTGCACAGGGGAAGTGTCTTTCTTATCTTCTTACTTTCCACAAGACCTAACAAAGACTTTCTAATAAAAATGTGCTGCATGAACCAAATAAAGTAATTAAGCATCAAAACCTAGTGCCTGCCAATGTTTTCCTAGCAATTGATGGGCCGGAAGAGACCAGGGCGAGAATAACACACCATCTTACTGAAACTGACTTGATTCTGTCTCCAACCTTGACCGTGCAGACCCCACTAGATACCGTTGACCAGGGGCAGGGCGGACACCGAGCTCAAACCTGTTTTACCTCAGCGACTCTGAACCCAGGAACCGCTTCAATTTATCCTTCAGGAAGGCGTTGGGGACAAGG